TATTAGGCAAGTATTTGACTCGATTGTGCATGGTCCTTTTGGGTTGCCTTCACCATAGCAACTTGGTAGGATGATTTATTATAAGAGAATAGATATTATTAATATATTATGAGAATAATATAATGAATAATAATATTGTTATTTGATTAATATAAGTTATAGATTAATTAGTATTAATTTGGTGACTTAAAGAGATTAATTAAATAAGAGGGTATAAACTGTCAATTGTTTGATAGTTACACTTTGGGCTGTAAATCCTTATAAGATAGAGGGTGGACGATTTATAGGGCTAAGGATAGCCATAAAATCATCCAAGGCTTATCTTTGGTAAGGATTAGGATTGCTTAGAGTCTAAGTTATCCAATTAGGGTTTAAGGGTGAAACCCTAGGAGCCTTACAAGTATAAATAGACCCGTTGGGATAGGAAATTGGAACCTCCTCTACAGCAAGGATACCCTGGCCGATTTCTTCCTCTCTCCTCTCTCTCAAATCATTCTCTTTGCTAGTTGGTGTTTGTAAGCCATTAGAGGAGTGAAAATTGTGACTCTAAAGCTCCAAGAACAAGAAGATCAAATAAGTGTTTCAAGGTATGATTCTAACTCTGGTTTTGTATTGTTCTTATACCTAATTAGCCATTAGGAGTCTTGGATTCAATGCATGTTTAATTAGAGAAACCTAGATCCAAGCTTTAGGGTTTGTATGCGCACATAGGAATGTTCTTATGTACAAAACCCATCAGTTATAAGTGGGTGAAGATGGTGGAGTGGTGTTTTTAGGTGAGGATGGTTGTGGTGAGAGTGAGAAGCTTTCTGTTTCGGATGTTGATATACTTGAAAGGGGTATGTCCTCCTGAATGTTGATGAATGGAGGGTTAGACGATGAAGAAGTCTCGGAGCCCGGTTGCTTCTTACGAAGCTTGGTTTGCTTCCTTAACTTCTTTATAGTTTTCTCTATCTCCGAATCAATTGGCAGTGGTGTACCTGTAAGAAAGGATCTAGGCATAAATAATTAGTAACATTGTGTTCCCGAAAACGACGCCAATTTATTAGGTGTGTCAAAGCAAACAAATAAAGGGGTATAAATGACTACAAAAGCACTACTACTTTTCACTAAAAATGTAATACAGGGTATGTAGGGTCGATCCATAAAGACACGAGACAAGTGTTTATACCCTTTTTGCGTAAGGTACAAATGAGATCACAAAAGAGGGGGGGGGGGGTGTTTAATTCATTCAAAAGATTGAGGTTATAAATAAATAATTTATCAAATAAAATAAACTCAAGATTTATATAATACTCTAACTCTATGCAAGACTACTTAGCAATCCGATTCAAAGTATGAAATGATATTTGTTTAGTTCTATCTAAGTTGGTATTTAGAAATGCCAACAAGTTCTAGCAATTCATATTCATCATTTTAATTAATCAAAATAAGCTCTTTGATTAATTCTAATCTAACTAATCTAATCTAAACAAGTTCTTAGAATTAGATAGAATGATTGCATTATGCTTTGTGTGAACTTTACCAACAACATTCAATACTCCTCATAAGCCTGAGAGTGTAAGAATGTATGAATTTGATTTACACCAGAATTATTCTAAGAAAATTCAATTTAGTGTTTGTTACTTGTTCTATATTACAAAACAATTACGGATTTTGTATAATAGATAACTTGAATGTATCAACCCTAACTCAATTGGCCAAAAAGAACTACAATTGAAACCAAACTTTCATTTAAAACAAAATCAAGTTCACTAGATAGCATTTAAAAACAAACATCAAGTCACAAGATTGAAGTCGCATGCAATAGTCAGTACATGAAGTTTGAGAGTTTAGGGTTCTAACTACACATGACTAGAACAAAACACAAATCAGGAAATTAAATTTAAGATCTTACAAATTGAAATTCAAATGAAATCCAAGTGTTTCCAATAACTAATTGTCTTCAAAATTCTCCATAAAATCGCCCCAGAAACTCCTAAGTTCAATTTAACTCCTCCTGGAACCGGTTACACCTTTTTAGAAAGAAGAAAAACTGCTTTAAAATTACGACCAAGTTTACACATCCCATGTAAATTAGCACTAGCATCTACACGGCTGGGTAAACAAAAAAAGTACACTGCATAATTTGGTCAGGTCTTCAAAGTACAATGCTCGAGAGTATGCGTTTACACGGCACATGTAAACACAAGGCTTCGATTTACGTGGCCGTGTATACCTCTGAATTTCCAAAATCTTCATTTCTTTGATATCTTCCTCATTGGTGCTCCGCAAGTCCCAAAACTTCATCTACATCCCTTATTCATTTCTTCAAGTAAGATCCTACCTCCAAAAGTCCCTGAAATATCACAAAAGTGTGTAAATGAAATTTCCTCATGAAAAATCCCGAAAAACATGCAAAATGCATGAGTTTAAGCCAATATGCAATGCACATTATGGAGTAAAACTACAAAATGGATGCATGAAATGCACCTAACAAACTCCCACATGGTCTTAGCTAACCAAAGAAATATCATGCAAGCTAAACATACAAACATACTAGGATACCATGGAAACCCTATAAGGTCTTACACCAAATGCCATGGGAACCCCCTCATGGTCTTAATCTACCGCCATGGGAACCCCCCAAGGTCTTCCATGCAAATTTCATACCAGCATAACACATAACCAACTAACAATCCACATATCACATAATGGGCCGACCTTGGTGCCTTCGACTCATTAGTATGGTGAGAAGACTCACCTCTCAAGAAATGTTGAACCTATAAAAATCAAATCCCAACTCATAACTCCAAAATCAACTGCGTACAACCACCCTGCAACTAACTTTAACAAAACCCAAAATTAACAAAGATACCCTTAAGGTCTAAATCGCTGAGTTGACAGGACAACTCATCGAGTTCGCATTATGTCCAGAGGATTGGGGAAAACCCAGGTTAAATTGCCGAGTTGGCCAGACAACTCGTCGAGTTTTCCTTGTCTTAACACCTTCAGTCACTTTTCCAGCGAGTCCAATGCCCCAAACCATAGATCTGGTTCCCTATGATGAAAATACCACATAAAGTTGCTAACTTTGCATCCATGCATGGCATTAAGGGGATAAAACACTCAATAATAGTTCCTTAAGGGGTTTAGGGCATGAAAGAAGGCCATGACTTGATAAAGATGGCAACTTTACGTCAAAAAAGGCCATGAGATGTCAAGATCTGAAGTCATAGCTTCATGACATGCTCAAATCCAAGAATGGTCCCAAAATGGGCTAATAATGACCATAAATTCCCACATGAAGAAATCTAGTAAATAAGTGACCAAGGTATCAACTTTTTACCTCAATATGGATGCTCCAACAATAAAGATATTGGATCTATAGCCTTTCCCTTCAACTATGCACCTCCTACTTCAAGCCTTCTTCCAATAACCACCAAAATGCACACTTTAAGCTCTCATAATGATAGGAAAAGAACGAACTAGGGTTTCTCTGGACAAAGGCTCAATGAGGGAGGCTAAAAAAGAGGTTTAAGACCCTTAAATAGGGTACAAACCTTGAAAATTAGAGTTTTCTTTTCCAACGTCCCCTCATCGAGTTGGCATTCCCCAACTCGTCGAGTAGCGTCCTTAACCCGCATCCAAATGAGTCTCTACACGACGAGTTGGAGCTCCCCGACTCGTCGAGTTCTAGTCTAAAACCCTAAAATATTGAAAAATAAATAATATGTGGACCAAGCATTACATAAAAACATGAACATACGCTTGCCTCGTTACTCTTATATATTGACATTATTTTCCTTACCTTAACCATAAGATTGTGATCATTGATGCATTAAATTGAAAATTGACATGACAAATTCTGGCCCCTTGACTTATTTTCTGGGCACACAAGTTACTCATACCACTAAAACCATGTTCCTTAGTTAATTTAAGTAAACTAAGGTACTCATCAAATGGGTCATCATGCATAATTATAAACGTATTGCTACCATATCCTAACATATCTAATTAGTGACCCTATTCATGACTAGTCTCTTTAACGGAGCTTAGCTAGTACCTTACAATATGTTATGTTCATTCGAGCAGATATTTCATACATAATATAAGAGATTTTTTTGTTTATACATGTCCCTTACGCACCATATAATAATTCCTTAAATACATTATTAGCTATCTATATATAATTATGAAGAAATCAAATATTCTTTTAGTTATTTTCTTCTACCATTTTTTTATAAATTCAAGATTATAACACTTGTTATATATAATAAAATTAATATTTTTATTATATTTGTTATTATTTAAAAATGATAGGAACTAAAATGAATAGGAATAATAAGTAGAAGAATATTATTTTTTCATAATTATTCTAAGTAATGAAAATCATGAAAATATTATGTATATTCACCAAGGTTCTAAATCAAGTATGACATGATTTTGACGGTATTGTTAAGCCTCAAGTTTTTATGAGCCTTGACGAACTACATCGTTTGTAAAACGTGAATTAAGAAGATAATTATGAGCGTGTTCGGCACAGAGCGTTTGAAAGCTTCTAGCTTGTAGCGTTTGACTAAACGCTCCGTTTAAAACAAAAAGTCTCATTTGGTATTACAAGCTTCTAGCGTTTAGTTTAATTAAAACGCTCCAAATCCAAATGCAACTTTATGTAGCGTTTAACAAAATGCTACAAACTACAAGCTACTGCTACCAACTAGTTTTGCCGAACACACCCAATATATATAATTAATATCTTTATATACACATCTTTATATACACGTGTATAACTTATTTTATTAAATTAAAGCTTAACAACAAACATAAGTTTTGGAGTTATAACAAACCAGGACAATAATTTTAAAAACCATACATATACACCATTAAACGCACTTAAACCTATTTCTATATATCACTATGACACGTGTATGAGCTAGAAAATAAAGATAAAGTCTTTGAAAAAAGAAAATTAATATAAAAATATAGAAATCATGAGACTCTGAAAACAAGACAAAAGCAAACATGAAACCGTGTTTTCTTGAGGTGACTTCGACGCTATATATAACCCAATGCCTCTCAAGGTTTTACTAGTCTAACACAATCACTCTCTTCCTGCAGAGCTTGTTAGACTTGTCGATACAAATACACATACAAATACTGATATAACAAATACATATATCGATATTATACATATCGAGAAATGGGAAGACAACCATGTTGCGATAAAGTAGGCTTGAAACAAGGGCCATGGACAGCCGATGAAGACAAGAAGCTTATTAACTTCATCCTCACCAATGGCCAATGTTGTTGGAGAGCTGTCCCTAAACTTGCAGGTAGATAATTAATGGAGATGATAACTATTTACTGTTGGGGTTGTGACTTGAAGAGAATCATATATATCGTGTCACATCATTGAATTACATTACTACCCGCACAATATTTTCTTGTACGGGTTTTATAGTATATCTCGATGTTGTGCTGCAATCGTAAAAGTTCTTGAATTTTTACGTATATATGGATGAGAAGTATAATAACATTTACTTCTGAATAACACTTTTTTCCTATATTACTTAACTACTAAATACAAAATCATGAGTTCGAATCTTATAGCCAATTTATCTTTGTAACAAGTTGTAATCTGGAAAATAAGCTATGAAATTTGTCAACTTGAATTGGTTTATTTGAATTTTCAGGGCTATTAAGATGTGGAAAGAGTTGCAGGTTAAGATGGACAAACTACCTTCGACCAGATTTGAAAAGGGGTTTGTTATCTGAACATGAAGAGAAGATGGTGATTGATCTCCATGCTCAGCTTGGCAACAGGTGAATTAATTTCTCATATTTCTATATGTTGAGTGGCAGACAAGTCATGCGTATGCACATGATTCAAAGCTTTGGTTCATGAAATGGCTTTGTGGGCAACATGATTGGACCAATTCTAATGTGCATAAAGTTTAAATGGTCCATCGGCAATATCATTTTTTTTTTTTTGGTTTGTTTTTTAAGAAAAGGGTGTCATGCACCTACTCAATAGTCTATGATGAAAAATATTCTTTCCTTTTAAAATGTATAGTCGCATTTCAATACTAATGAATTCGTTTTGTGAAAAAAAGAAATAATTAATTTGGGTTTTGGTATTAACTGTTAGGTGGTCAAAGATAGCCTCTCATCTTCCTGGAAGAACTGATAATGAAATCAAGAATCACTGGAATACCCATATCAAGAAGAAGCTTAAGAAAATGGGGATTGATCCTCTCACCCATAAACCACTTCCTCTTTCTACAACTTTAACAGATCACCAATCACCACTAGAGACTGAGAAAACCCATTTTTCAGAAGCAATGGACCATGAAAACAATGAATCAGTTGAAGTATTAAACGAGACGATTTCATCGATTCAGTCAAGTACAGTCACCGAGGTAGCTAAAGATGAACAAGATGATGTTCAAGTAGTTGACTTTTGCACTGATGAAGTTCCATTGATAGAGCCTCATGAGATCCTGCTTCCTAACGATATTAACGTTTTACCAGCTTTTCCTTCTTCATCTTCCTCTTCTTCGACCTCATCAAATTATGACATTTCAGTTTGCAACCAAAGTTATGTACATGAGGAACTCCATGATCAGTTTTTGCCAAGTTTCGACTGGTGTTCTCCTTCCTTTGATTCTACAAATTATAACAACTTCGAAGCAGGATTATGGGAGGATGACGATGAATTCATCAGCAATTTGAACATGTTGATCAATGATGAATATGAAACTGATACAAATGTTCGAAGCCATACTACTTTTGCACCTGACGTCACCCACTACTCAAGAATGGTCATGGATGATGACTGTTGGAAATTTGAACAACTCTTGTGAATCAAACGCTTATTTCTTTTTTTTTTTTTTTTTTTTTTTTTTTTGGTATCTTTTCTTATCTTTTTTTTCCCAATCTTTTGGGGTGGATTTGTAAATCCAGAAAACTGAAAGGTTATCAGTTCCTACTACTCTTTTGGATTTAGGGTTTTAGGAAAAAGAAAGAGAAATCAATAACAAAGGAAAAGCCCTTCGCTAAGTTTAGTGCTTTTTTATTATTACTTTTTTTCTTCTAAAACAAAACAAAAATAAAAAATATATCAAGTTGAATATCAAGAACTAATGCATTTGTGGCTCACCCCATAAGACTTGGGCATCCCATAAAGGACTCAACTGATTTCAATCAAGAGTTGGTCATTGGTTTCAATCATGAGAAAGGTGCATAGCATGCAAATCCAAAAAGACTTATTAGTATCATTAGTATTATCGCCAAAGATCGATGAGCCATTATCCAAACCTCTTAATATGGGGGAGTCGGAGTGGATAGTAGGGAACATAGGCCAAGTTTTTTTTTTCAATAGGTTTTGTCAATAATGAAATATGTTTTAATACTACAAATATATTTAAGAAATCATGTATTTGTTAATCATTTTTTACTAAAGAAATTTCAATTTTCTCATCCACAATTTCAATGACAATTAAATACCATCATGATAATTAAATACCAACATGATATTTTATTAAAGTTAACTAGGTTATAACCCGTGTCAACTAAGATTACAAAATTAATTAAATTTTTATAAAAAAAAAACTCATGATTATTAATTATTTATTTTAAATAAATTATTAATTAAGATATATATTTTATTTAGTTATGTAACATTATAATCTTTGATTCAAAATAAATAAGTGTTTAAATTTGAATTGAATCCCATATTATATATGTTTATGTTTAAACGACTTGCCATATTAAAAATATAGAAAGAATATAATGATTTTTTGCAAAATATTAATTAGGAAAATCAAAAGAGTTATAAGTGACAGAAAATTAAATAAAAGGTCTAATTGAACGACACATGACAAAAAACTATTTATTTGTTAGAATAGGATTAGAATAAGATTTTAATATACGGAATAACAATTACGTATTCCATATATATCATTCAATTTTTCGGTTAAATTAATAATCATCGTCGATCCTCCAAAACTAAAGAAACTTTACGCCTTGTTCCCGAGTTCCACTTAAGGAGAGAAATGGGAGGATACGGAGGGAAAGTGAGGGATATCGAAGGAAAATCGTGTTCTCGAGTTTCATTAATGGAAGAAAAGTGAGAGGAGGGGAAGGATTTTAGAGTCATATTTTCCTTCCAAATTTTCCTCTCAAATTGGACGGATTTGGGAAGAAAGTGAGGGGAAAGAAATTTTAAGTTTATTTTCTTTTTCCTTCTAATTTGGGAACACAAAAACTAAAATTTTTTCTTTCCTTTCCTTTCATTTCCTTCGAACTTGGGAACATAAAATAAAGAATATTTTCCTTCACCTCCCTTTTTTTCTGTTAAAATTTTCCTTCCATTTCCTTTAATGAATTTACATAAAAACTTAGGAATAAAGAGGCAGTGAGCACATACCAAAATGGGTATACGAAACACAAATAGTTATATATGGACGAAATTAGAAAATGTAATCCAGCAAATAATAAATAACTATTTGTCACCGATAATAATTGGAAAATACTTGGTAAAATGTCAACATATTTTTAACTACAAAAGATGTCAACTTTTTTGTTACTGACCAGCATCCATCACCAACCTTGAAAGCGATCATGGTTGCCTTCATTTTCAGTGACATAAGCCATGACCATCTGCTGAACAAGTACACAATTGACTTTCTGGTCAATCAACTATCACATAGATTATATATATATTATATCTCCGTTTTATCAAATACCCATGTTGATTCGGTAAATATTCCATATATATTTTATTGTAACGTTTTTTTGTTATCTTTAATATTTCGTTAAATCCAAATACCGATGAGCTCAAATTTGACAAATGATTTTCTCTTTTGATAAATATGTAAAGTCCGAGAAAATTCATCACTTCGACCATTGCCTAACTATAAATTGGACAGTCACATAACTTATTATTATTATTATTATTATTATTATTATTATTATTATTATTATTATTGTTGTTGTTGTTATTTTATTTATTTATTTTGAATAGCAAAAGAATTTTATTAAAAGACTAGCAAGATACCAGGGAGAACATTACAAAGAACAGTTAATTGAAGGATTAATTCACCAGTCATGCCAATTTAGCCAAATAAAACTTGCTCTATATTTTAGGATTTTTGATACTGTAGCACATCAAAGTTTGGCCAATTTCTACATTTAGTCATTAAAGTTTTTTGTGCTCAATTGATACTTAATGTTAGTAAATACCAGCTAATTAAAGAAATGAGAGAAAATGTTACCGATTTAAGGGTCATCGTTGATGTGTATTGGCTGATGTGGACAAGCACTTGATGATGTCCTCTTTAACGTTGAAACCTTCCTTATATTGAACAATCGATGATACATTGTTACACCAAATTAAGTTAGTGCCTATCACACCCCCAAACTGAAAAACGGCGGAAACGTCTGAGGGTGGAAGACGTCATGCGTAGTATCACAACAATTGCATCATAGTAATCAAAGTAAACACAACCATTACAATATAATATGAATATTTACATCTATTGGTTTCATAGTTTATAGACACCAAATGCTCTGTCTTGTCAAAAGGCGACGAGAGTACCTGTCTACTGATGCCTTGAGAATACACGTGATTTTGAAAACGTATCAGTATAAAGCTGCTGAGTTCATAAGATTGTTTCGTAGTAAATACCATTGTTATCGAGTTTTGAAAAATATATGCATGCTTCCCAAGAAAATCTAATATGTTCTAACATGTTTGTTTGTTACTGTATGTGTAGTATGATCTGTTTTAAAACCCTAGCTACCACTAGTATGTAGAGTATGTTCTGTTTAAAAACCTTGGTTACCATCAGTATGTATAGTAGTTTTATTACTTAAAATAAAACCAAGTGTTGTATCCATGGAATACCCTCCAGTGTACTGTGTACTAGTTTTATTAATTAAAATAAAACTATTGAAGAATGAAAATCCCGTAAACAAAGGTTAGTTTATACTATTGTGAGTTCGTATAATCATGATTGATATGACTGATGACCTCTGCGACGTTTCTTCAGGCGTCGTATGGTATGATATTTGTCACCTAATCATGACTGCCTAACAGTAGCTAACAATTCAGGTTTGAGATTGTTAGTCCTGAATAGAGTTATTCATAAATCTCACACTCTCCCTCCAGGAGACTCTGGCTATACTAAATGTAGAGGATTTTACCAGTACCCCGAAGGGTACAATTGAAGAGATGTCTCACAATCCTGTATTAACTAGTTTACATGTTGATCTGTATCGAGTTCTCGTAATTGGAACCGTTTGTATACTTGGTAGAGCATAAATAATTATACGAAAAATAATTATTTAGTGTTTTACTCTTGTTATGTAGTATGAATATCATAAAACTAAATCTATCATAGTTTATATGATTGACCATGTAAGTAGTATATTTCGGTAAAACTGGTAATGAACTTCCCCAAACTATACCTATTATAGTTTTACTGAATGTTATGTTCGTGAATCGTTTTCAGAATTATGCAATTATGTTTAGAACACGTCCCTTATGCTCCGCATAATACAAAAGCGATAAACATCTATACATTTTATTGAAAACGTTGGTTTGTAGCAATTGCATAAGTTTTAACTCGTTGAAAGCCCTTTTTGTTTTAGTTCACAAAAACCTTTTGTATTTGGCTTGTATTCCCCTCCATGAAAATGTTTTAAAGCCATAAAAGCGTAGGGAAATGAACTCACTGTTTGCTGTGTGTGTAAACATTGAACTGGAAGATCATCGAGTTGTTGGACGTGGCACTTAACAGAATCCTAATATCAAATAAATACATATATGTATCTAAATTAGCAATTTCATTATATAAAGTGTTAGAAAAACACCTGCTTTCAGTTAAGGAATGTTACTGGGACTTGATTGAATCGAGGAAACGGGTGTTTCACCACTTAGGAGGTGTGTACGGCCGTGAACAGGAGTTTACGGACGTGAAGAGTAATTTACAGCCAACAGGCAATTTACGTCTGTGAATAGGGTTTATGGCCGTGAACTCCTCTTTGAAGGGTTTACGGACCTAGTAGATTTGAAGGGTGTACGACCATAAACTCAAGAACAAGAGTGTTTGATTTCGATGAAAACGTGTTCGAGATGTTCCCAATCGGTTCCAAATGATGATTTTCGATGTTTTTCGGAAGAAAAGAGGCATTTTTGGTGTTTACGGTCGCAAGCCTTAGAGAGAGAATGAGAGAGTTTTCGGCCAAGAAGGTTCAAATGAAGGTCGGGGTCCTGTATTTATAGGTTGGGTGTCACACCCCCAAACCAAGGATGGCGGAAACGTACGGGGGTGGCGGACTTCATATATAGTATCACAACAACGAGTATAATAGTGCTCAAAGTAATTATAACCATCATAAATATAATTGAAAAAGTTACACCAAAGTATATGTTTACATGATTCAAATCAATTACATTATGATGACAAAATGAACTGTTTGACGATTTATCGTCTCATCCTCAAAACGCTGTTGATTTCCTGCTTCACTGAATTCCTGAGAATACAAGTTGTTTGAAAAGGTGTCAACACAAAGGTTGGTGAGTTCATAAGCTTTTTAGATAAAGAGTTTGGAAACCGTTCCTTGTAATGTGTGGTGTGTTACCAAGAAAAATCCAATATTTTCCTTATAAAAGTTATGTGGTCCGAAATGTCGGGACCGAAAATGAACAAGTATTTGTCATACTTAAAGATATAAAAGTGGTTTTAAATTTGTGTAAAACCCTTTCTGATTTGAGAAAAATCCCGAAATGAATGGTGTGTAGTCTTAAATACCAAGACTGAAAGTATACAATAATATCTGTAATTATTGATACGAAAAGTGATTTTAAATCCACATAAA